GGCGCAAAGGGAGATGGCTGTCCGGCGGCAGAGTAGAGCTGCGGGGGCAGGGCAGCGGCCGTCGGCGGACTGGTGGGCGTCTGCATTCCCTGGTGATAGGCCGTTTGCCCACCAAACGGCGGAATGCCCGGCTGTTGTTGGTAGGGCCCGACTGCAGTCGCCTGTCGCATGTCACTGAGGGTGATGGGCGGAGAAGATGCATGGCTGCCGCCCTGCATCAGCAGGTTAGAGGTGCCGCTGTGAAGAGGAACACCGCCGCCTAAAAGAGGAGGAATCATGGGAATATGAGGAACCGGAGGAGGAATGGAAGGAGGAGGCGTTGGAAAGGCCACCGTCGAAAAGAGCGGTCGGACAGGATTTGGAAGAAGGAAATAGGAGGAGGAGAACGTGGCAGAGGCAAAGGCGGAGATAGAAGGAGAGAAAGAACCATTGTTAGCACGATTGTCACTTGCAAGGGCTGAAGTATCTGGTCTACTGCCAGAAGAAGTGGCTACGAAGTGGCCGCCGTGTGAGGCGGAGCATGCAGAACAGGCAGAGGCGGGTCGGGAGTGGGAGTGGGAATGGGCGTTAGAAGGAGGAAGGCTAAGGCTAAGTGAGGCACACTTTGAACCACTATGACCACTAGTAAACCCACCAATGGAAACCACCGAAGACTTGGAGGAGCTCTTGTCCAGTGCAAGCAATGAGTTCTTACGTTGTTCAGAGGCGGCGTTCGAGTTCGAAACGGCTCCGTCAATGGCTGCAGCCGTGGTCGCTGATGATGCCGCTGCAGAAGGCGGTGGATTGTCCCACACTTTCTTCACCGAGTCAAACTTCATCTTCAACTCTTCGGCCACTGAGGAGGTGCCCTGCGGCACCGTAGGCTGTGACTGCTGTTGCTTTTGATTGGCAGTAGAACCCGAAACAGTGTCGATGCTGCTCTCGTCAATCTGCAAAGAAAGGGGAAATGAAAAACAAAGCATTAGTCAATCGTCAAAAAAGATTTGAAAATGCAAAAAGGCTATGATCAAATGAAGAAAAGAATGATTTTCAAAAAAGCAGCTCATGCAAGCACCACAAACACACAACACACAGCACACGGTAAGACAAGGGTAAAAGATTTTGAGCATTGGATTATACCTTGGACAATACTTTATTTTCCGCCCTTAGCCTAGTGTTCTCAATGATTAGCGTTCCAACCAGTTTCCGGCTACTGTTTTGGCTAGAGGACGGTTCCTGCTAGAGGACGGGCAAGAGAGCGACAGACAAAGGAAGAAGAGGAAGCACAGGTGTTTGGTTGANTGATTTTCAAAAAAGCAGCTCATGCAAGCACCACAAACACACAACACACAGCACACGGTAAGACAAGGGTAAAAGATTTTGAGCATTGGATTATACCTTGGACAATACTTTATTTTCCGCCCTTAGCCTAGTGTTCTCAATGATTAGCGTTCCAACCAGTTTCCGGCTACTGTTTTGGCTAGAGGACGGTTCCTGCTAGAGGACGGGCGAGAGAGCGACAGACAAAGGAAGAAGAAGAAGCACAGGTGTTTGGTTGGCGATAGTTTAAGTAGTGTAAGACGAGAACAAACAAGAGACGAGAGAGCGTTAGTTGAGTGTGTCAGAAGGTTAATGATAATGCAATGCTTTAAAGAACGAAGAGATCGGTGCTGAAAGAGTGTGGTGCATAACTTTTTCATTACAAAAAAGAAACTGAATCCCTACACCTTAAAAACTCTTAAAAGCCTAAAACAGTCAACGGCTAAAATAGCAAAAAACTAAAACTATAATAAAGCTGACAAAAAAATTNAACTGAATCCCTACACCTTTAAAACTCTTAAAAGCCTAAAACAGTCAACGACTAAAATAGCAAAAAACTAAAACTATAATAAAGCTGACAAAAAAATTCACTTACCATATCAGGCAACTTCGAAGAAATGCCCATCGAGTCAGAGGACTTTTTCAAGGAAGGCTTTGAATCACTTGAGCCGGTGGCAGTCGTTGAGCACTTTGAAGCTGAAGAGGAGGCGGTGGTCGTGGTGGTGACCGCGCCCTGCTTGTTGACGCCCATTCCCTTGCCCTCCTCGTTGCTGTTGTTGCTGGGCGAGGAGCGCTGCGAGGTGGAGGTGGAGGAGGTGGAGGGCGGCTGGTGCTCGCTGTCGATGCCGCTGTCGTGCTGGTCAAAGCTATTCGACTTGGTCGACGACGTCGAGGGGTGGTTGGAGCTGGGCGTCGTTGAGGCACTGCCGCCAGAGGGGATCACAGTTGAAGAGGAAATGGGTTTTGGCTGCTCAGCAGAGTTGGCAGCTGAAGAAGTGGTGGTCTTGTTTGCTGCTGCTGTACCACGAGCCGCATTGTTTGCTCCGCCTCGGTGGTCACCGCGAGCGGCGGCAGCGTTCGTCTGAAAGGTTCGCCCGTCAGACTTGCCGCCGCCACCTGCTGCCACTGAAGTCGTGCTAGTCTTTGGGTGATCACCACCACCGGTCTTCAGGTGCGATGTCTCCCCAGACTTGTTAATGCCTGGCTGGCCACCAGTTCGTTGTAAACCACCCTCCGTTGATGATCGACTGTTTCCTGGCAACTGCTGCTGACCAGCACCTTCCGTGCTGCGGCCACCACGTCCACCACCACCTTCGCCGCCTCTTCTTTGTTGCGGCTGTGATGAGGATTGTGACTGTTGCTGCTGCTGACCATCGCCCCGGCGTTCCTTGGACTTTGATCGCTGTTAGCAAAAAAAAGAAAAACGTTAGAAAACAACTTAAAAAGTTCTCATCTGTCTAAAACTGATCATTTCTATCAATTCTCTCTCAACCTCAGTTTACCGAGATTGTAATCATTCTTTTGGACTCTCATGGGATTGACATACACAAAGTGGGTAAAGACTCATCATAATCGAGAAGAGAAATTAAAGGCTAGGCTACTAACTGAAATAAAAAACAAACAGAAAAGTCACTCACCTCTTTTCTGCGTGGCTCACGAGGCTCTCGCTGTTGCTGCT